ACACAGTGTGCACGTTAGCGTGTGCAGCAACCCCGCGACGGGTGCGCCGGTTTTGGTCGTAACGCAGTACGACGTGACGCAGCAGGTACGGCATGAAAAGTTTTTATTGCGATGTGGTGGTGACGGTAGGGGTAGGGTGGAAGGGAAGGCTGTATTGATATGAGTGGTGGTGTTTTTTATCCGTACGGCCGTTGTATGTTGCTGTAGAAGCGGTTGTTACGTCGCGCTAGATGTGAGGAATCTTTCCAGAACATTCCCAACCAACTATGGTCCCCACGAACTACCAACCAACTAACCTCCTCTTCAACCAACCACCCAACGCCAGATGGACGCCCGCTCCCAGCTAACCATGCTACTGGAGCGCGAGCAAAAGATCCTGGAGTCAATCTTCCCTAGGTACGACATGTACGACATTTCTTAATTTCAATCGACAGTGCTATGTTCGACAGTGCTATGTTCCGCGCACCAAACATGAAAAGGAAGGTCCTCCCTCCCCTCCCCCCTTCCTGGCCACGAGCGGGTTTCACATACACATACACACACAAACATACACACACTGCGCACACACACACACACACACACACGCGCACGCGCTTGTGTTTCGTGACATCTTGGACCTTCCTCAGGGGTTGCCTTTCTAGGACCAGCCACTGTGTTCCCCAGCCCGCGCCTCTTTCCCCTGCTGCGCTGCTGCCCCCTCTCCAGGGGGGGAGGGCAGACCCCCTATGCTGGGATGTATGGCAATGGCTGTTGTACTACAATCGTATTTCCTGTGCTCACGTTTCACCGACGCCCCCATGTATGCGCGTGTATGTACGTATGTATGTATGTATGCCCCCCTCAGACACGTCATCGAGTACCTGACGACACAGCATCCCGCTGCGGATTCCGCCACCACTGTCCCACGGGTCGGTGGTGGCCGCATCTCCGCAGGCGGCCGACTGCCGCATCGCGTCAGCGGCGGCGACGGCGGCAGCTGCCCATCACCATCACAGCAGCAGCAGCAGCAGCAACAGCCCAGCGCTGGATCGGCATCAGCTACATCTACCGCAGCAGCAGTAGCATCTGGCGGCGGTGGCGGTGGCGGTGGTGGTGGTGGTCTTCTGGCTCATTACCGCAGTAGCGCTGCCCATCTGGCGTGTGTGGCTACTGCGCACCCTTGCGTCACCATTCTGTTTGCTGACGTGAGGGACAGGGGGGGAAAGGGGGGGGAGGA